ACACACACACACACACACACACACACACACACACACACACACACACAAAAGAACAAACTCATGAAAACCCACAAAGACAGATAACAGGAGCTGTAATTACACATTCGCTGTTCAGTTGAGGGTAAACAACTCGGCATTTAAGAGAGGACGCCTTATTCCAAACACTCAGACACACAGATGGAGGGATAGGATGTTTTACCACTATTACAGCTATAATTACAACCATCAAGGAGAAGGGGGGGTTCAGATGTGAGGAAGGTCAACGGCAATCTTGATGTGTTGCAAAGATCCGCAAGGTTACCGCAGTTTAGTGTGTTTGACCGTTTATATATTATGTTTATATGATGTGCCTATCTCCGTGTCTGTGTGTGTGTGTGTGTGTGTGTGTCTGTGTGTGAGAGCGAGAGAGAGAGAGAGTCTCCAGAGAAGCAGAGCTTTTGCCTATTCAGTGTGTGTTTGTGGCGACTTGTAAAAAGAGCAAGCGGTAATTGGTAGGCAGGAGGACACACTCCATTTCCTCGGTTGGCTGGTCCCTGTATGTTGAATTCAGGTGAGGATTAAGAGCAGCGGAGAAGAAGTGCGCTGGAACATTTTTGTAAGTGATTTACTGGCGTCAGTACTTTTTTTTTTTTTTTGTTTTTTGGTTTACGCTCTCAATTAATAACAGCAGCACTGTGGTGCGATAAATTAAAGGTCATGTTTCGAAATATTAGCCAAACATTTTAAATGCATCACTCCTGTGTAATTAAAGATGCATGATAAGTGGGGGTTGTTTATGTATTAGTGTACTTGATGATAGCTGATTATAAATCCAAAATATAACTTATATTATCACCTAATGTTGCGTTAGATCGTCTTGAACAACATAAGTTCTTGTGAACATGTTTAACTAGTGTCTGCTATTGATGGCCTGTAGGCCTCATTGACCTGAGTATAAAAAAGAAGATTATTTTGACTATGACGAATACTCAGATGAAACATATTGTGCTATTCATCACAGACTAATCAATTCAATTCAATGTGGCTTTATTGGCATTAAAAGCTTCTAAAAAACAATCTTGCCAAAACATAAAAATGCAAAAGTACACAATAATATTAATATGAATATTGACACTTCGTTAAAGTCTCGGTTATTTCTGGGTCTTGATCCTATTCTGTGTTGTCTCCATCATGACTTCATAACTTCCTCCTCTAAAGCATCTTCCCTGTCAGTTTCCTGGCCTCACTCTTCCTCACCAGTGCCATGATCATATATGTGATTAAGAGCCTCTCCTCATATTATCAGATTATATTATCAGGCAGATTACCATTTACTTCCCTGAATACTGTGCAATTCACAAAGACACCACAGATCACATCCTAACAATGACAGACACTTGCAGCGCTTTGGTCTTTACTCTGGACCGAAAGGTTACAGAAGCGTTGGGCTTACTGGGCAAAACAGAACAAAAATCATAACTTCCTTAGAAAAATGTATACTGTATATTGTGACAAAATAACTCAACTCAGAAATCCATGAACAGGCTTTTCTGAAACACACACTCTTATCATCCTCATCCTAATGTGTATTTACAGTAAAACATGTATTCTACACCACACATCATCTGTTCATTGTCAATAGAAATATTTATGTTTTATTTGTTAAATGCGGGTTGATCTCTTCCAAAAGAAGGAAAAAAAACTATTTGGCATTTCAACTTTGTAACCAAAATGTATCCATCAAAAGGTGTAATATGAAGGGATGGTCGAGTTTTTGTTGCTTTATTAACACTCTGGTTTACGTACAAACATTTAGGCAAAACAATGTTTCTAGTTCGACAGTACTGGGACTGCGATGGAATCTTGAGGCCTCTGCTTCTAGTGATTTGAGAGAGAGTGAAGTAAAGGTGCATCCGGTAGCTCAGCAGCTGTTTGCACCCTCTCTGGCTGTGCACCGCGTCGTCTGGACACACGGCCCAGGCTCAGCAGCAGACACTTGACAGGCCAAAGTCAATCAGTTTCACTTTCAGTGGCTGCTGCTGGTGTTCCACGACTGAATTACCGCATTTAATGTCTGAGGCCTGCAAAGCAAAATTTCTATCGCCTTCAAGTGTGATAGAGCTGTGGGTCAACTGAAGAACAAATGGACACAGCAGCTGTTGTTTTGTAGGTGACTGTAACCAAACCTCAATCAGTTGATAACCCAATCCCACATTGCATACTATGCACTACATACTCAATATGTGTACCGTTCAACATACCTTTGTGTGAATAAACAGTGGTGTGTATCTTTTCCAACGCAGTGAATCGTAATTACCGCCTCGCTTCCTTAAAAAGACTCCTTGCAGGTTGGAACTGCGTAGCAATGGTGACCCGTGACAACCTCATGTGACCAAACGATGACTTGTGAGATCCATACAGTCTTATACTTGGATTTAAATAGAAGTGTTATTGATGTTACAGAGCTGTCAGCCCAATAGTGGTGCAGGAATGAGTCGAACATTAGCGTTTTACTTCTGCCGACTGAATTCACACTTGAAAAATCATAAAGTGGCGATCATTTGTGAAGATTATTTTGCTGAAGAAAACATGAAAGTATCATAAACGTTTGTTTGCCACAGAGCGATCATCCAATGAGGGAACCAGGTTGATGCTAATTTCCGGGTTGGCCTTCAACAATATGTGTTCCCTGCAGCAGTCTATTGTCTGTTATTTCGTCACCACCGCATTGCATTTTGGGATGTTTATGCCGGCGCAGCATTCTGTAATATTTCACTGCTAATAATAGTGCGTTTTGTATTGGTTTCATACCAAGGTTTCAAAAAATCTCATACTTTTTTAGTGTACTAAATAGCATTATGGATTTTTGGACGGAACCCAGGTGTTACTAAGAAAAATAAATCAGTCATAAATAATTGTATTACTTCTAACGGTTCCTTTCCCACTATAACATGTCAACATATCTTCCATGAAAAAGGCCCATTGTACTAGTTCTCCGAATACGTGTTTAATTTCAGTGGTTTTTTGGAGTTGTATGTCTCTCCTCCTGTTCGCCTCCTCTGTTTGTTTTTTTGTCCCTTTTCCTCCGGATCAGTTTTTTGACGTTCTGCCTCCCTTGCCGTCCTCCTCAGGTGTTTTGTGGAACCTATCGTCATGCGACGCCCTGAAGATGCCCATCATCCAGGATGCCCTCGCCGTGCTGACCAACGCTGTGATCATACCCCACTCTGGCTGGGATACGTCCCCGCATACACAGGAGGACCGCAAGCTGCACCTCCACTCCTCCCAGGTCCTCCGCAACGCCACAGGCTGCCTCCGGTCAGTGTCTGTCTGTTTGTTATCCGACATTAGGATGGAGACTTTTTATTTATACATCTTTTCTTTGTTATTGTACGGCCTACACCTTCACTGACTGACTATTTAGTGTCGCAAATATTCCTGCAGAGAAATTACATATTCTCTCACTTTGCAGCAAGATTTCACCGCTCACAGTCTGCTACTACCAACCACATTCAAACAGAGAAATAAGTCCCCCCTAGTCTGTTATTTTGAGATAGTAGTCTCTCATCTTTACACAGAGAGATGACAGACTTTAGCATTGACTCACCACTTGGCTTCAGAGCTGCTGTGGCTTTTCGTTTTTACACTTGAGACATAATGCTAGTCATACAGGGAAGTCTGGAAGTAGTAGGACTGTGACACATTCTTTTTTTATGTTGTTTTGGCTCCGTGCTCCAGCACGCCGGATATTAATAAAGATAAACAGTGACTGTAAAAATCCAAGTGCATCAGATGTTGTTGGCTGTGTTTTTCAGCATTTCTTCTTGGGCTCCTCTGGGGAATACCTGACATATTATTTTAAAACAATTCAAATTACGGGGGAAAAAAATCCTGTTACTTAAGACCGTAATTAATTCCTTTTTTTCTGGCCACTTAGGGGCAGTGCAACAAGCTGTAAGCATAACACTGACATGCTGGCAACTTATAAAGTCAACGCTGAATCAGGCGATTTGAAATTCTAGGAGAACACCAATGGGGAGAGGCATGCATGCATTTTATATTCTTCATCAGAGTCAGATCATATATCTGTTTATATCCTCATTGTAAGTTTTGTTAGAGTACAAATAGCATCAACTATATTATCTTAAATGTCACTACATATATGAGCTACATATAGTCATTGGCTACTTTAATGTACAGTGCATTATAATCACTTATTTATCTATACGTACGCATTAAGGCATCTTGTTTCTAATGAATATGCCTATTGATAGCTTATTTGTGCTTGTTGTGATAATAAATTGGCTCGGCTCATTCTTGCTAATTATGAATATAAAATACAGAAGAGTGAGAATTAGGAATAATGAAGGCATGTTTGATAAACTAACCTTACCGACTAATACATCCTCTGCCTTTTACACACCTTTATTAAACATAATGTGTGTGTGTGTGTGCTCACACATATGAATTGTAATGTTGAGACCGCAGTCCCTCTTAGCTCTGCGTTCTGTAAAAGTCAATGAAAATGCTCCGCGGCTCTGATAGCAACAGTAGAGGAACTAGCTGTTTCTAAATATTTTCTAGTATTTCATCTCCAGGAACCCATCTCACTTAAAGGTATACAGACACAACTTGTCATGCCTTCATTTCAGGCCTTCTGTGCTCTCCATCCTACGAATAGCATGTGTTTTGGGGTTTCTACTAGAATGTGTATACATGCTTTAATGTGGAAAAAACACATTATTTTCCTCATACTGTCTGTCTGTATAAACCTATATTCACCCTCTGTCTGAAACGCTACAACGCTGAAATTTTTTGCGTAGCCAAGACGGAGCTCATAAATATTTCTAACAGAGACGTGTGTCGGCTGTGTACCAGACATTCTTTTGATGTGCTACCGGTTCCCCTTCATTAAACACTTCAGCATCAAAAGAAAACAACAACACATCTTGCAGACAGAATAATGACAACTTCGCCATGAAACATTCACAAATGCAAATGCACATCAACTGTGTATATATATTGTTTTTTCTTGCATTATCTTATTATTTCTGCAGAGTGTATAATGTGAAACAGTAGAACAAATAAATGTGCTTTAATACATGTCGTTTCATGTAGAATAGAGTGGAATTGCTGCCATGACTACATTTGCATCTCTGTCTGCAAGGTTATCTTGCTTCCTGTGTGCGTGAGTGTGTGTGGGGTGGGGGGGGGGGGTGTTGCAGGAGACGGTTTTGTGTGGATCAGCTCCCTAAACTCAAGGAGCTAATTCATCTTTCTCACGCCTCGTTAGGGAATGTGGGGAGTCTGATTAAAGATTGAATATTTCATGGCGGGCTTGGTGTATCGTCGCCCACCTGCTCTGTCTCTCTCTCTCTCTCTCTCTCTCTCTCTCTCTCTCCCTCAATCTCCTCCTTGCATTTCTCATTTTCTCTTCCTCCCTCCCCCCCATGCTTCGTCTCCGTCTCGTTGTTATTACTCCATTTCTTCTCTCTCTCATACTATACCTCCTTGTATCCCTTTCTTATTCTGTCTCACCCCGTCTCTGCCTCGCCGTCCCTCACTTTCACACACACATTTTCTCCCCCTGCTTACTCACTGCTTGTGTGTGTGTGTGTGTGTGTGTGTGTGTGTGTGTGTGTGTGCTTATGCTGTTGTGCCAACTAACAGAAGCTGCTGAAACTTCTGCTGCTAGAAATCTGAATGTGAGTTATGTGCGTTGAATCTTTAGATGTGACACCTATTTATTTTTTTAGAAACTAATTTGGTTTGTCATTTATTGTACTTACGAGCTGATCGGAAAAAGCACAAAAACATACGACCCAGACGTGTAAACATCCCTCTCTCCAACACGCATCAGTATTCTTTACCCCTCCCAAGTGTCTGTCAGCAACTGCAACTTCAGCCAAGTCAACAGGTAGCATTTTTATGATCCATCCTCAGTACATGTAGCAAATGATCTGTGTGGGTAATGCAGTGATCACAGCGGCCTGTTAATATTTTCTTTGGGATTAGGCACCACTAATATCAACCGACATAATAAGTGCCTTAATTTTGCTTTATTTACTGATCTGGAGGCCTCCTTCATTGTTATAGTTTTGTGCTTACATGTTATATATTTCTAAATGTTACATCTGGAGACATGCAGGTTATGTCATTGCTTGAAACCTTTTTGACGTGGATGCAGGAATCTCCTTTCTCTTGCAGCTGTATCCGTTAGCTGCTGTGCTAAAGGAAAGAGTTTCATTATCTGGAGTGATGGTTGTTATGCCGGTTAGCTCTGACAAAGTGTAGGCTAACGAGGTAATCTCTATGAACAGATATCTGCATATGAATGCAGAATCTGTAGCCAACGGGTCAAGATTTTTGCATTGGAAGCATTCGGATTTCCGTTTATAGTCCCGTTGTAGCCCGAGTAGTGTTGACCAATTCAAGTTTGAAGGGCTTTTGTTGTATGCAGGTAAAGAGTCAGTGTGGACAGTAAAAGACCGCATTGCCCAAAATGCAATGCCATCAACCACAATTGAGCTTTTTACTAGCTTTAAAAAAAAAAAGATCTGCATACGAATTCAGAGAAACAATCCAGTTGTCAATGTCGTCTCTCAACTCTATTGTTGCCTCTCAAGTTGTTGATCAGACTGTGGACAATGACCGATATACAGTTACAGAACATAAAAAGCACCACATGAACCTCTGGACTTGGTCTACTTTACTTTAGCATTCAGCCAGACTCCTTTTTTTTAAATTGCCGTTCATGATAGCTGTTAGCCAATGGTTTTATGCTAATCGCGAATGCTAATCGCTGAGTTTGAACTCAAAAAACCTTTGTGAATTTGAGTTGCATACTCGGCTTTGATGGCTATGTTGAGTGCAAGGCTGAGATACCTGTATGCTAGTGATCAGCATTTTCACTAAAATGTCAAGATTTGGACATGAATCCACCATAACACTACTAAATATCCATATACACTGGTTTTCAGCTACAAACGTGGTTTGAGGATTTAGTTACAAGTGTCATTAACACATTAACAGCAAAGTTAAAAGTGTGATGAGCTGGTTATACTAGTTGGTCTTGAGAGCAACAAAATGACATTGTGTTTTTCTTGAAAATGGCTGGATTGTTTCTTTACACATTCATATGCAGTCATGTTTCTGCCTATGAAAATATGCAATAAAAGCATCAGTGAAGCCCACAGTAAAATACTAAATGGACTTTTGTATGACGTATTTATCGTCGCTGTTCTTTTATTTATGAAAGCTCACGGATGTACTCACTCAATTTAAGGCCAGTTGAGTATTCAGACATTAAGTTTACAACACGGCAGCTGTGTGACAACACAACCCCGTGCCTTTAAAACCACATATTAGTTTGAGACTAAAATGGTGATGATTGTTATTAAGGGAAAACAAATGCAGCTAATGGGAGTTTTGGAAGCTTGGTGCCATTTCTCACTGACACCGAGGGCACGGGCATCTCCTAGCCATCCTTAATAGTCTGACATTTAAAGGGCATTACACTCAGACTCTCTCTCTCCTCCGTGTCACACGGAGACGCATACATATCCGGTATGGCATATCCGTATGCTTCAACACACACGTGTGTGAAACTACCGGCGATTCGAGCTGTGTATGTGTTACTATGCAGACGTGCATAGGATATTCTGAAGCTGTGCTGCATGTTCAGTTCTCAGCTGGACTGTTCATTGATGAGGTGTGTGTGTGTGTGTATGTGTAACAGGAATGTGAGTTCTGCAGGCGAGGAGGCCCGGAGGAGGATGAGGGAGTGCGAGGGCCTTACAGACGCTCTGCTCTACGTCATCCAGACCGCTCTGGGGAGCAGTGAGATCGACAGCAAGGTACCTCTCTCGCACACAATGCAGCCAACTGCCATGCACACATCCTCTCACGGCCTCGAGCTCACACAAGACGTCTGAATAAAAATACACGCACACTGATTCAAATAATAAAGACATTGCTGAAAAGTTATGTTCATGTGTGTATCTGCATGTTTTTGTGTATATCACTGTCCAAAAACTCAAATATAAATGCTTGTTTTTGCTTTATAAAAAACGTGTTTCATGATGATAACTATGTATGGAATATTAATAACGTACATGCATATGCAGACTGTATGCAAAGGCTGTGCACATTAATTAAGTTGTTTGCCTGTGGTTTGTATGTTAAAGGTTTGCAGACCACAAACTACACACTGTAAAATAGGAATGTGCATCTGCTGATGAATACATATCACTAAGACTTCAGCCTTATGATTCATTGATCAGTAATTATCATGAGTATTTATCAAAAAATGGCCAACATTTTATAAAATGGATATATTAAAGCCAGTAATCAAACATAGAGTATAAATGCCCAAGCTGGCCGACCTTTTCATTTGTGAGCAATCATGTGTAGGCTTGCATATGTGCTACATGCATCAGATCTGTGTTTAAAGGGATAGTTTGGCTTCTTTTGAAGCGAGGCCTGCAGTAGACGGCCATCTGTTCCTCCTTCATATCTGTCTCTTTATTTCTCTCTCCCATCAGACCGTAGAGAACTGTGTGTGCATCTTGAGGAACTTGTCGTACCGTTTGGCCGCAGAGACATCTCACACCCAGCAGGGGGGGTCGGAGGAGCTGGACGGTCTGCTGTGTGACACCGGCGGGAAGGACGCAGAGAGTTCCGGATGCTGGGGCAAGAAGAAGAAGAAAAAGAAGGGACATGAACAGGTAGGGAAACTGAAAGTTAGACATATTTTTACAGTGCTTCCTTTTTTTGATTCGGTCAAATACTCTTTGCTGGTGCTTCATGTGAGATCAAACTGGTTGGCAGCCTCAGCTGAAGTCTCTTGCTTGGGCAGAGTTCATCACTGCAGAGGACTGCAGATCCGTGCAGTTAATAGTATGGTGGATAATAACAATGTGGTGGAGGACTCATCGTTGCCCTCTGATGAATATCTAGACAGACTAATGTTTGGTCTGTTGCCCTCTACTTGCTTGTACAAAAAAAGAGGCTAATGTTGCTACATCTAGCATCTGTCCTGTCTGTGTATTTAAAGGAACACCTCTCCCACAAAATGTATGTTGTATATTATATTGTATATTAGCGTATTGCCTTGAATTATTGAAAAAAAACATTTACACACCGAGTACATTATGCATGAGGAATATGCCCTTGTTTGTTTGATGCCGTGACCAGGGCGGTATTTCCTGTCAGATGTCCACACCAGGAAAATTAGAATGAAATAATAAGGCATAATAACAGTTTTACCAGACGGAAACCTCCGATTCTGAAAAGTGAAGCCACTGCAGAGGTGCCTTAAACTTGTCCATGTCCATCAGGGGGCGACTCCTCTGATTGTATAGAAGTCTATGAGAAAATGACTCTACTTCTCACTTGATTTGTTACCTCAGTAAACATTGTAAACATGAGTTTACGGTCTCAATCTCTAGTATATGTTAACATTTGTATTGCTTTGTTATCCGTCGTGTGTCAGAGCAGTGCCCCAATGGGAGGATTCAATACGTAATTTTGATGTACGTAATTTTGATGTGCGTCTTATTGATTGAATGTTTTGTTCTGTGCAATATCGCCAACACACGCTACAAGGTTTCCACACAGCAGGACCAGGAGATGATGGCTCTACCTACATATTGACTCTCTACTGTATACACTGACTACCTTTGCTCAGAATCAAAATAAATACAGAGCCGATTTTAATATTTCGCTCTGGATTTCCTGGGTGTGTCCATCTGCTGCCAACAGGAAAAGTTCCATCCTCCGGTTAGTCAAAAATACGAGTGCCGTTTTAGTCACCAAGCGGATGCCGTGGAGTAGGCTCGAACCTCTTGTCATGCTAATAAGCAATCAGCATCACATTCTGGTTAAGTGGAAGATGCCTTTTACAACTTCTAGTGAAGCTGTGGAATTGAAAACTCAACACTTCCGGTGGATCAGGGCGGGTGAATTGCTCATTAGCCCTGCATTCTTTTTTTAATAAAATTCTCTCCCCTCTTTCATTTCCAGAAAAGATAGATTAGGATATTTGAAAGATGTTAGTGATGAGCCAGGCCTTTAACTTCTTTTTGCCAAGCGAACCCTCGAAGAATTTGTTGTGCAGCCAGGCAGAACCAGGGAGACGAGGGATCTCAAAACTAACCCCCGGGATCAGATTGTGAAGGGAGAAATCATAACCTCTCCATAATGATAATAACCCCCCCCCCCACACACACACACACACACCCCTCCTCGTCCCTCTATCTGTCTGTCTCCACTCCAGTGCAGCTGTAAGCGATTACCATGAAGTAGCGATTGGGGAGCTTGTTGGAGAGGGCAAAACTCTATGAACGGTGGGGTAATTAGAGGAGAGAATGAGGAGAGAGAGGAGAGGAGGGAAGGATATGTCGGTAGGCAGGACATATAAAGGGAGAGTCTGTTGGCAGTGTTACAAAGCCTTATCAGATGTTGTGGGACATTACGTCATTGCAGATGGAAGGAGGATGATACTATTTTCTATACAAGACAAACATGTGGACTGAAATTATATAATGGCCCCAAGTAGGAAGCAACCAAGACAGTTGTAATAGTATATACAGTACACCTACAAATCAAATTCAGATAAAGCATAAAAGGACTCTTAGTCCAGTTTTCAGTAGCTCTCCATAGACCTTAGACCCTCTTTACAATAAATGTGTCCTGGACGATCGGATCACAAGTAGACAGCTCTAGATACAAGTTTAAGCGACCACCGAGACCCATTATTGTGATCTGATCACTTGCCGAGGTGGGACACATCGGACCAAGTGTCTTTTGAGATCTGCGTTCTGCCAGAACTGTCCACTTGTGATCGGATCACCCAAGACGTGTGTTGATGCCCGGTGTGAACGGGGCCACAGACTATTATGAACTGTACTTTTGTATGGTATAATAAGTTATTTTGTATTCATACATTCCAATGTATGCTTATGTGTGTGTTTTGATAATGGACCTACTCATCAACACACATCAGTCAAATGCCACTACTACTAATCTGTGTGAATTATATTGCAGTGTCCCTTAGAAATCTCCTGCATTCAAGATCAAAGCTTGAACTCTTGTTATTGAAGTACAGTGTGTGTGTGTGTGTGTGTGTGTGTGTGTGCATGTGTGTGTGTGTGTGTGTGTGTGTGTGTGTGTGCGTGTGTGTGTATTTCAAAATCAATGCAGAGGGAAATGTCAGATTTCAATTACAGAGCAGAAACAAAATGCACAAACAGATGAATGCCAGCGTATTTATACACAGTTAATGAATAGTAAATCCTCTCTCGCTCTCCTTCCTCTGTTCTTGCCCGAGGGGACCATGCTGGCACCCTACCACGATCCAACCTCGCTTCACACAGAATTCAAAACGCTTTTCTATTCTAAATGACGTCTCGTCTTCCGCAGTGGGACGGTGTCGGCCCATTTCCAGACTTGGCGGAGCCCCCGAAGGGCATCCAGATGTTATGGCACCCCACCATCGTCAAGCCCTATCTCACGCTGCTGTCGGAGTGCTCCAACCCAGACACCCTGGAGGGAGCAGCTGGGGCTCTGCAGAACCTAGCTGCTGGCAGCTGGAAGGTAAGGATTATGCCTATATCACTGTTATACCAAAGGGCATCTGCAGCAGTGCATTGAATTTTCAGTGGGCGTGTTGTGAAAGTGAGAATTCTCAGCACACGGCAAAACAACAACCCCAAGGGTACTCCATATTCTGATCATTTTGTGCTAGCTTATAGCCATCAGGAGGCGACTCCTCTGGTTTCAAAAAGAAGTCTGATTGTATAGAAGTCTATGAGAAGATGACTCTACTTCTCACTTGATTTGTTACCTGTAAACATGAGTTTATGGTCTCAATCGCTAGTTTTAAGTCTCCTTTAATACAGCATGATGTTCATTTAGCAAATGATGGTCTATTTAGACTAAAATAGACCATAAAGCAGGGTGATGATCTACCTTGTGATGGTCGCTACCACAGTGTCTGGGAGTTGCTCGTGTTTACGTCTTAGAACTTTAACCTTTCACAGTTTGTGCGACCGCCAAAATGCTGAACTCAAGGCTTCAAAACTGTACTCTACAAACCAATGGATGAAGTTGCAATAACTACCTCCATTTGTAATATACAGTCTATTTATGGGATAACACTTTAATGTAATGGCATCTGAAAGACAAAGATAAATGCCCAGAAATATAAAAAAAAAAAAAAATGCTCTCTCTGTCCACCTCCGAACCTTACCTTCCCCTCTGCCCAGTGGTCGGTGTATATCCGGGCCGCAGTGCGTAAGGAGAAGGGCCTCCCCATCCTGGTGGAGTTGCTGAGGATAGACAACGACCGGGTGGTTTGTGCAGTGGCCACCGCGCTGAGAAACATGGCTCTGGATATCAGGAACAAGGAGCTCATTGGTAAGTTGTTCCTTCATAGACAGCAACAAAGATACACACAAAGAGTGACTTCACGCAAAGGTTACACGCTCTCAGTCAGGACACAAGGTGACACATGAGCTAGTATTCCAATAAAGGGTTAATGCATACATTTCGAAGCAGAGTTTTACTTGAGTGTTGTTGATGCTAATGGAGTAATTTGCTTAATTCTGCCTAATTGGAGATAATATCACTGAAAACAAGTGCAGGTATCTTGACCCGCTTGCAGAATGCCTCACGTTTTTAAATAATGAATGTGGTACTTGTTTAAGTAGACGTGTTTAGCAGACGTTTAAAGGGAATGTTAACATAACACTTGTGTGGAGGGTTATCACTGTTATGAATGGCTGACTGGCAGTGGGCTTGTGGATTTGTCTATAATAAAAAAAGACATGCGTGTCTTTGTAGCATCTCTCTGTATTTATGCAGATATAAAGCAGAGTTTCCGTTGAGCGGATGTTGCTCTGGCTGATCATTCGATGCTTGATTTCCCTTTGGAGATCAAGTGATGTCTGTAATAAACTCTGCTTTTCTGCTGGTCCCCATAGCAACAACCACTTGCCTCCTTCACCTTGCTCTGTCTGATGCTCGAGGCACTGAGCTAAGCTGTCTGTCTGTGTGTACTGTCTAATGCAGCCGCTCATGTGTATCGTGTATGTAGGTTGTAATGTCAATCTCAGGTCCACGGGGCATGCATGTGTATTTTGAAAGGACATATACTGTCCCGCCCTCGCGTGTGTTGTGTTACATGAAGAAATTGCGTTAGAAAGACAACATATCGTGTAGTTGCATCCTCAGAGCTTTCAGCAGCAGATATCAACATTGTTTCCACATCACGGTCCACCGTGAGCCAGCTGTTGTTTTATCGATGCAATGCTAAAAACTTGATTTTTTAATAATGTGAATATTGCAAACACTGCAAGTGTATTGCAATAGTTAAATTAAGCTGTTTACATGGTTCAATCATGTTTGATTACTTACTGTAATAAGCCGGTTTATATGTGTGATTAGGATTTAGTTGTGTTTTTTTTTTTTTATCTCTAAAAGGGAAAAGTCGTTAACAACAACTCGTGCAGGGCTGGGAGGGGGGCTAAGACACGCCCGGTCACGTCTATCATCGGCTTATTTTCCAAAAACCAGTGTAGCATTACAGTCACAGCACAAGCCTTTTCTCTTGTCGGTGGACTTGAAAATAAGCAATCCGCACATTACAAACTCCGGTGAATCAGTTTTAATGTAAATTTCCTACACAGTGATTAGAGTGTGTGGATGAAGCATTAGGTTCTTCAAATATACTCATTTAGGGGCTAGCTAGTTAGATAGCTTCCTTGCTAATTCCACCATGCTTCAGTTAAAGAGCATACAGAGTAAATCAGGGACTGAGCCTGGTCTACGTTACTTTATTACGTTGCCAGACTTTACTGTTTTCAAATTACCGTTACCCTTTCAATTTGCTTATGCTTATCACTAGTGCGATTCGCTAATGCTAATTGCTAGCACGCTGACTACTGTTATGATAATGGCTGGTACGATGTAAAGGGTCTGTTATAGTGACAAAAACAGTATGAACTCTTTGTGAATTTGAGTTTAAATGCAAGGCTGGGTGCAAGGTAGCAATGTGTATTCTAGTGTTTAGCATTAGCGCTCGCTATATATATGCTAGCATACTGTGACCAGATCATATTAAGACTCATCATAAGATCATAAAAATGCTGAAATAATTGTCCTCCATCCTGATGAACACACCTATGCGATGTGCATAAGCGAGTGTGTGCATGCTTAAACTTCACGTACACTTAAGGGTCCCGTTTTGGTCTCCCTATGCTAGCAATTAGCATTCGATTCACAGGGTAATTGAAAAGGTAACGGCTTGATTGATTGATTTTTGTTTTGGATGTAAAAAAAAAAAACAGACCTAAAAACATCCTAAAGTTAGCACATGAAAGCATAATGTAACTCTTATTTGCAATGTGTACCTTGGTTTGAAGACAATACATCATTATACACACACACTCTTCAAATAGATCACATCGATAACATCAATCTAGAATCTGGAGTATAAATGCTTCATGCACCAGCAGTAGAACCCATGTGTGCATGTGAACAGTCAGTGGGTCATGAGGTGCCTCCACCACCATCACCCCACCAGGGTGATGACCCAATCGGAATGAGGGGCAGAGTGCAGGGTGGACAAGATTGCCTGACAGCAGTACTGAGCTGCCATGGGAAATGTAGTCAGTTGGTGTTGCACGCGGCCAATTCATCATGATTGTCTGACAGTCACACAGCCAGGCCCTATTTACGCAGCTGAGAGCTTTAATGGGGTTCTCAGGTGACAAAAGGGAAAGAGAAGAGAGTCAACAAAGGATGAGGGGGAGCAGGGAGAGATATATTGAGTCATCATTGGCATTAATATGAAATTGTATTGCCATAAAACACAATACACACGATATTGATCAAAATCATTATTACAGAACCTCAAATTGCCTTTTCTTCATTCCCATTTCCGCCTTGTCTCCTCCGTTCCACCTTCAAACCCTTTAACCAACATGATTCCACCTCAACCCCACCCACTCCATCACTCTTTCCCACAGGTAAATACGCAATGAGGGACCTTGTTCACCGTTTGCCCGGCGGCGGCAACAACAACAACACCAGCGGCGGGGGAGGAGGAAGCACCAACAGCAGCGTCCTGGTGGGGAAGACCATGTCGGACGACACCGTCACGGCGATCTGCTGCGCACTGCACGAGGTCATCACCAAGAACATGGAGAACACCAAGGCCCTGAGGGACGCCGGCGGCATCGAGAAGCTCATCGGCATCGCCCGCAGCAAAGGGGACAAGTAAGTCGAGTGGGAAGATGATGTCAGGTGGAAGAGGAGAGAGTATAAAGGGATGGGATGATAGAAGTTATAGTTTGATGGAAGCTGCAACAGCATTAGAAAATGTTTTATGCTGATATTAGAAACTGTTTTTCAACAGTCAATATAGCAAATGACACCAAAGACTACAATACCCATGAGAAGAAGAGAACCACAGGTGCATCTATTGCCAGGCAGTCCCGATCAAAAACAAAACTACCTCGCAGTTGACGTATTCATTCAGAATTGATCCTGAATCGGAAACTGATTTTATTGAAATTGCAACCACCATAATTTTAAGCTCCGTGATTGGATGTTTTCTAAGTATAATTCTGTGTCATGATGAAAACATCATACATCAGCATACAAGTCACAGAGAGTAGAGACACAGACTCCTGAACCAGAGTCACCACATCTCAGAACGTCCAGATAGACTGGAGGTAATATGTATTTAATTGTCTCCATGTTTTCAAATGTTGATCGCGCACATATTTATGCTAATCAGGCAGCTTGAGAAAGAGATGTTTAGGCATGAAGATAAAAAATAATCAGTCCAGGAGAATAAGAAAAGGGTTGGAACATAATTGTGGTGGAGATTGGAAGAGCGAGATCATGCAGCCCAGTGACAAAGGTGAGGCAGGAGGAGGCTGAATGTAGTTTTTGCCTGATGATTCATAGCTATAAAACTTGCCATGAGTCAACAGTTCAAACTGTCAGCCGGAAATGAGGTCCAAAATGAAAGTTCGGCACAGTCTGTTTACCCGCACACCTACGTACGTGTCTATATTTTTGTCATTTGGCCTTTATTTGACTGTTGACAGTAGAGACAGAAAGGAAACCTCGGGCGGGAGCAAGAGGGAGGACATGCAACAAAGGTCCCCAAGCCAAGTCAAACTGGGGACATTGTGTTTAATTGTCACGTGTCTTCGATCACTACACCACAAGGAGGCCCTCAACTATGTGAGATTCATCAATGAGCTCTCAGCATGCTGCCAATCACAATTACCTCAGTAAATACATGTCTATATGTTGGAAATATCTATTCTATCCAATATCCATCTAACTTTCAAGAGATAAGATAATGGTACTAAACTCTCATCTTTGGATATTTTTTAGTGAGGAAATGCTGTATCTACCAACGAAAGGTGTTCTTTCAGCTGTCTATTTTACCAATTTATTTAATACAAAAGACTAATATAATGCTATTTTGATTTTGATTATTTACGGTCTATATCATATAGGAAATAAACGTTTCTCTGTTTTTCTAGTTGTAATTTAAAGGTACAAAATTGCATTGAATCCACTAGAGTGAAAAGCTGAGATTTACTTCGCTAGTTAGCTTTAGCAGCAGTTTAGCTATAGGGTGTTTTCTCCGTCATGGTTGGATTCATCTACTGCTTCATTCAATAATTAACTGATGGACAAGGATACTTTTATTTAACAGACAGCTTCAACAGCTATCAATACGTACAGCTATTCCTAGCTATCTCAGAGCTAGCTTTCACTCAACACAGTTGGCTGTTAGCTCTGTTTTGTAGTTACTGCTTCAACTGTTAAACGTTGCTTTCACAGAAATTCTAAATTTCTATGGCAAACTGTTAATATAATCAAACAGATGTCAAAAAGTCAATCAGGTTTTCTCCAATGCTCTGTGATTAATCATAGGCTGAAATTAATTTCTGTTATTACTCAAAGAACAACTCTTTCGAGTTGCCTTTAGAGATACTGAAGGTTTGAATCCAAAGATAAACACGTCATTTCTTTTTTTTCTACTCTTGTTCTTCAAAGAATGTTTTTAAGATCCCTGCTTCACTGCAAGGGCGTGACAATCATCATAGAATCCCAAACAATAACGTTTACCAAAATGACTCGTAGAAATAATGTCTAATTTGCATGGCAACGATAAGGCCATATGAGCCAATTAAACCCACAGCCATTATTCAGCTGAGTCAAACCCCCGGTGGACGCAGAATGAAATATTGGCCAATCAATCAATCAAGCAATTATTACACAATTTTGCCTCAGTAAAATTGGAGTGCTATATTTGAGAAAATAAAAGGAGGCATTTTCATTTTGCATCTTTGGCCGTCTTTCTTCTTTTGAGACGGCAGTGAGGCGATGCTTTGCAGGTGTAGTGTCTCTCCTTTATGTCTCTCTCTTCATTCTTCTGCATTGTGATGTCATTATAGCTCCCATTAGCACAAAACGGGACAGTCGAGCTTTATACTTTCTGTTTCCTCTCTGCTGAATTCCCAGGCATAGTCCCAAAGTCGTGAAAGCAGCATCTCAAGTCCTAAACAGCATGTGGCAATACAGAGACCTCCGCAGCCTCTACAAAAAGGTAAAGTCTGAATGTGCAAGGCGTGTATGTGCATTATTTCTTACACCGTTTCGTCTCTCCTCCTCCTTTTCTCATCCGTTCCTTCTCTTGTCTTCTCCAGGACGGCTACTCCCAGTACCATTTCGTTGGCTCTTCCTCCACGATAGAGAGAGACAGACAGCGACCTTATTCTTCCTCTCGCACTCCGTCCATCTCTCCTGTACGGACCTCACCCAACAATCGATCAGGTGAGTCCACCCACACCCAACTCTCCTGTCCTCCCTTTTGTCCTTTATCAATCTTTCCACCAGTGCAGTCCGGTCAAAAAACCTTCACACTGCGACAGCCACCGGCAAATTACTCTACCGTCAAGTAAAATCCTTGCAAGGGCCTCCCTTGCGTTGCCCCAGATTAGGGTTTGACTAATATGGGCTTTCCAGGTTTCAGTATATTTGCACTCATGACAACATCTTCTGATTTTCACTAACTTTGAATAAATTGATAAATGTATCAGTGTTTTCCCACAGATTCAAGACGCCCTGTGCCAGATGCAGCAAAGCAGCTCCAGAACATAACCGAGCCTCCTTCATGTTTCACAGTAGGTACAGTGTTCTTCTTTTGTATGCTTCATTTTCGCATCTGTGAACATAGAGCTGATGTGACTTGCCAAAAAGCTCCAGTTTTGTCTCATCTGTCCAAAGGACATTCTCCCAGAAGCTTTGTGGCTTGTCAATATGCATTTTGGCAAATTCCAGTTTCAAAACTGGAGCTTTTTGGCAAGTCACATCAGCTCTATGTTCACAGATGCGAAAATGAAGCATACAAAGAACACTGTACCTACTGTGAAACATGGAGGAGGCTCGGTTGTGTTCTGGGGCTGCTTTGCTGCATCTGGCACAGGGTGTCTTGAATCAGTGCAGGGTACAATGAAATCTCAAGACTATCAAGGCATTCCGGAGCGAAATGTGCTGCCAGTGTCAGTGTAAACCTTTTTAATGCTGCATTACCAGTAATTCATATTCCAGTATATAATGTATATAGTATAGCAACTGAATTGGCACTGTTTGCAGATACTGAATCCAGCTGTTTCAGTCAGTATCAACTCAATATCTTATCTCAAATAACAATAGAGGAACTTATGTGTTGTGTCTATAGAGCATACAGTGTCAGTTCTGCAATAAATATTTTACCAGACAAGTTGCATTGTTTATGTCATATCTCATGATACTTTTAATTTAGTTGCTCAGTTTCCTATCGTGCAAGCAGATGGTCCATCCAGTCATTTGTGCGATTTCCCTTCTGTGGCAATCCTTCACATATAAAAGAAACCTTTTGATAGTTGCCCATAAAGAGGTGCCGATATCACGATAGATATTATTACCAGAGCATTGATGAGTGTGTGGATCAATGCTAAAAGTGTTAAACAGAAGAGAGACAAAGCAACAAATGCAGCCACACAAAGAGGCTGGCAGGCTGCACGTCGCCAGCAGCCTCCGCGTGGAGGGCTGCTGATAAGGATTTGAATATTAGAGGAAACGCTGCTGAACCATATGGCACTAAATCAATAGCTAGGTTTCCTCCAACATGGCTAACCAGATCTAACTCATTATCACTGCCACTGATCCCACCGCCTCCCCTGTCAGTCCAGCATTTATTATTACAATTAAGATACTTTTCGGGTACAGAGAGACAGACAGAGATTAAAAGGCCAGTAGGAGTGTGAGATAGAAATCTGTCCCTGTAGAAATATGTGTGGAGAGAGGGTGGCCTGCAGCCAGACAGAAGGAAAGAAAGAAAGAGAAGACAGAGGCAAGAGTAAAGCAGATGCAGGGGGGAGGGATGACTCAATATTTACCTCTTTGAAATCACACCCTGGTCACAAAGCCAGATTTGTGAAGAATACCCACAAACAGCACACGGTGCATCCGTTTCCGACTCATTTCAGAGGGCCGGTTACAGGAAATAATCAGAATCAACACTCAAAGGGCTGTGCCTCGGTTGAGGTAAATACAAAACCTGAAATGCTTGGAAATGTGCGAATTACTCTGACCTTTCTGCCACGAAGGGACCCGCCGTGTGTGATGTGAGCAGTTGTCCCTCCTGTTGTAGCCTCCGCCCTTCTGCATCCAAAAGAGTATTGATAATGTGTTTGTGATGGAGTGAAGGTCTCAGATGTCCCCCCATTTGTTTGTTTTGTGTGTGTTTGTGTGCAGCGAGCGCCCCTGCTTCCCCCAGGGAAATGATGGCACTGAAGGAGAGGAAGGCAGACTACGAGTCGACTGGCAATGCCAGTTACCATGGCAGCAAGGGTGAACACACGTCCCGGAAAGACGCCATGATGGGTAGGAGTACCACACACTGCACGTCTGACACGTTCTCCCGGAACGCTGATGTGCTTTTCAGCTGAGTGTGTCGCTTTGGAATAAATATGAACCACATGTGGATTTAGGTTTTTTTACAGTATTCAAGAAACAGTTCAACATTTTTGAGAAAAGCGTCTCATTGTTTTTCACGCAGAGAGTTAGATGAGTACATCAGTGCCATTCTCGTACAGTATCAGTACAACAATATGAAGCTGGTGCTAGGAGATAGTTAGCTTAGCTTAGCAAATAGACTGGAAACAGGGGGAAACAGCTAGCCTACTAGCACCTCTAAAATTCACCAATTAATTATTTATATCTTATTTATGTAATACATGGAGAAATCAAAGTGTTAAAATTACAAATTTAAATTGAAAACATAAAGTACATATATATATATATATGTATATATATATTGTGTTATTTGTTTGTTTTTTGCAAATGAATCAGGGTCGCTCGTAGGTGGATTTCATGACATTGGAACAGAGGCGGGACTTTCTGTTTGCCCCTGTTTCCCGTCTTTGTGCTAAGCTAAGCTAATCACCTTACGGCAGTAGGCATACAGAGATGAGAATGGTATCAATCGTCTCCTCTGACTGTAAGCAAGGAAGCAAGGAAGCATGCTTCCCAAAATGTCGAACTATATCCTTCAAGATAACTTTTGTCAGTGATATGAACATACATCAAGTATTGTGAGTGTTTGTAAGCTAAACAGAGTCTACGATAAGGCTTCTGTGTTTTATTATGTCATCATTCCACACCGACAGCAGGGAAACACTGAGCTCCAAGCTCTCCTTAATTATCCTCACTCACTGTCATTTTGATTCTTATTCTTAATGAAAAACGCGTCAAGTCCAGCTGATAACGCTGACAGCCGACCCACACTCCTCTGCCTCCTCTGACGGTAAAACCTGAATAGATGGTTTCAGAGCAGGCAGTCACGTCCTCGTCTTCTCTGTCTCTGCAGGTCAACTCTCCAGTGGGTCTTCCACGCTGCACAGAGGAGCATATGTGTCGCCCACTGATGACCTGAAGTATAACCAGGTACAACAATTCACTTCTCCGTGTTTACAAAAATGTGACCACTGTGATAGCCAGATAGCTTTGTGTCTGCAGGAAAGGTATAGTACCCCCTCGTTATATGCATAGCGTCTTTTCAAAATAATAAAAAAACATAGTTTTTAGGTTTAGTTGGTTAGGTTTAGGCAACAAAACTACTTGGATGAGTTAAGGAAAACATTGCCGTTTCAACGTAAATGAGTCATCGTTGACTTTTGGTTTCACGTGGGACATGAGCAGCCGACTGTGAAAGTCTGCGTTTGTTTGACCCATCCATCCATCTCGACCTCCTCCTTAAGCGGACTTTCTCGCTCTTTATACTGCGTCAGTTACTCTAAGTGACTAATACTGATGTAAATGGGATACATTGAAGTTCGTTGAATGTAGCCACTTCTTATTCGAGTAGTCCTTTTTTATGCTGTTTTCATGCTGAATAATATTATAATCCTGCTTTTCTTTCAATAATGATCTTTGCCTTTCTTGTCACAGATCTCCTCCCAAGGCCTGCCTTCAGAGCCCTACCCTCCTTTCCAAAACCCTCCCCCGCCCGACAGCATCAACTACGAGGACCAAGCCTTCTACGAGAACCAGGTTATCGCGGGAGGGCGCCCCCCGCAGGGTGACCTCAGCATGCACCTGCAGGGCCTCAAGTCCACCGGCAACTACGTAGACTTCTACTCCGCCTCGCGGCCCTACAGCGAGCTCAACTACGAGACCAGCCACTATCCAGCCTCACCAGACTCTTGGGTCTAAGGGGAGACGAGGGTGGAGGATCAGGAGGAGGAGGATGGATGGATGGATGGATGGATGGTGAAGTGGGTAGTTTAAGAAGAGGAGTAGAGAAGATGAGAGGACAGTTCCTCTACCTCCCTAGATAGCAGGACGACGGATGGGGAGGATGGAGTGCAGGAGGAAATCTTTAGACATTACACTCCTCTCAGAGACATCTCAGTGAAGAGGGAGAGGGGACAAAGGAGGAACAGAAGCGAACAGAACAGGCCATGCATGTGCATGCACACCACCACCAAAACTGAATTTTCTTCCTGTGTTTAGTATGTGATCAACTACTGCTAGAAAGTTCAGCAGAAGAGAAAGACCTCCTGCACTCCAAGGCCTCCGGATACAGAACGTAAGACAGACGGACACGACGAAAGAGGACATAGAGGGGAAAGATGGAAGAATGTATTGAGGTGAAGAAGGACAATGAAAAGAGAAAAATAAGTCAGTGGACTCGAGAGTGGAAAATGTTTTTTTGGATTGCGAAATGAAACGTGTGAGAGTACCTGGGAGAAAAACCTGTAAATATGTGGTATAGCAACATTGCTTTTAGTAATGTGAAGCACAAGAAGCAGAGCTGTAGGACATGTAGGACGTCTGTCACACAAATCTTTGTTTCTCTCTATGGCTCCAGCGTGATGTGTCCTCCTCTGGGCGAAGAACGCCTCTGGACTGGTCATTTGTAACAGTTTTTTTTTCTTTCTTTCTTTCTTTTGTTGTGTTTCTACTTTTTTAATTCTCGATTCTGGTTGTATAGTATTTGATGTACACTGTACATTTACCGAGATGCATTGTGTACTGTACATTGCACTATTTTCTGTGTCATGTCAGGCCTTTTTCGCCATTGGGTCAACTTTACTTCCTCACTAACTATCCCCCACCTTAAACACACACACAGAAAGACACACACAATCCCTGCACTCTTTCAAAACATATATTACAGCTACGGACTGATGTCAAGGCGTTGCTATTGTTGAAATATCGGATATGAATTGGGTATTTGAAGCATCAATTCTGGTAGGTCACGGTGCTCCTTTAACTGCCCTACAGAATGGCCATCTCAAACAGTTGAGCTGCCTTTTTTCCCCGTGACAAAACTCTCGTCTTTTTTAAGCTAGTTTATGGTTTTTTTTGGCGGTCCACATTAACACCTCGAATCCCCTTTTTGTTCCCATAAGCTCCTCCTTTGAGTGAACTGTGCTCATTGTGTATATTATCGTGCCAAACAAGGGTTACTTCCCCTCAGCTGAAGAAGACATGGGGGGGGGGGGGGGGGGGGGGGGGGGGGGGGGGGGG